TCAGGCCCCAGTGCACTGTCCCAGGGTGTTCAGGTACAGGAAGGTGGTTAAAGCTCAGGCCCCAGTGCACTGTCCCAGGGTGTTCAGGTACAGGAAGGTGGTTAAAGCTCAGGCCCCAGTGCACTGTCCCAGGGTGTCTGGTTCCACCACAGCCAAGCTAAGTAACAAGTATGAGAGGAACTTGAGAGGAGAAGCTACTCAGTCAGCAGTAGATGACCACAGACGAGTCATCATCCTCAAAATCATCTGATGTTATTTTGTTCTTCTCTCTTTTCATCTTTGAATATTTCAGCTTCGGCGGTGCTAGCCAATAGGACGTTCTGAGTTTGGAGGGCCGGGCGAGGGATCAGTCCGTGAACTGTCAGGGTGGTTTGATCAGCTGATTGGGGCCCACAGGCCGGATGTGGAGAGTGAGCTCTTTGCCCAGGGGCGGGGAGATGTACTTCTCCTCCCTCAGCAGTCGCAGGAGCAGGTCTTCAGTCTCTGAGGGCCATCTGTAAATGCGGGTGTTCTGGAGCCACCCAGGAACATGTCTCTGCAAAGAGCAGCAGTACTGTCAAATTCCACAAACTCTGAAGGCTTACACCGAACATAATAAACACACTGTATGAAAGCAAAGCTTGGAATGTTTTGTAGTGTGCCAGGAATACAGGCACTATAATGTCTTTTTCTCTTGCTAAAGGACTGTCTTTAAAATTCACCGCAGCAAGAGGACCAATATGAAGGAGCCGACACACTCCTAAAATCCTGCATTTTCAAGTAGGATGCAGTTTTATTGCAAGTCAATAGAGCACAAAAGGATATGGAGGAACTAAGCAACGATGAAAGAAATCTGCAGTCATTATTAATGTGTCTTTTCCAACCTGTCCTTACTAGAGTGCCATAAGATATGGATAAATGAACAACGGGCAAGGTGAAGGGCAGGCTTTTGCTTTCTCAGTTGCAGGGATGACATTGAGTACTACTGACCTTGGTGGCATTTGGGAAGAGCACAGGTATAAATCTGAAATTCAGGCTTCCTTGCTGAATGAACTCGTTCTGCATCTGCAAGGCCACATGCAAACAAATTAAAAAAGCTGCATATGCACTAAATATTCTGGTTGTGTGCATAAACATATCATTCTCATACCATATCAACAAAATGAATAGCATTAGAAATACAAATATCTAATCAGCAAAGGTTTTGGACACTGAAATCAAACTTTCTTCCACATAACTAATCAATAATAACACCACATGATGACTTGGACATTTAAAAACAGTATAAAACATTTACAAGTTTTTTGCAAAAATTGTAATAGGCCCACATTGTTTCTTTAGTTTTTAGTACAGTAGCTAATTAATCTAGAGATTTCAACACTGTGCAGTTTTTTCCAGATTCCCTCAACCCCAATTTGCAGAAATGGCTTCCTATTACTTTCCAAATTCTGAGATAGTGGACTTTGAAAAGCCTGCAAGCTCATGAATAAATCGCTAATGTTCCATTCTAGTCCAGACAGCTGTACATTAAACTTCAGGAACTCAACAGTGGGTGGGCATGCATCCCAGCCCTTGATCATTGTTAAGCCTTCTCTATTCTTACAGTTGATCGCTTGGAAAGCAATATATATATAATTTTGATTTCAAAACATGATTACAGAAACATTAGGTTCCCTGTTTATAACCCTTTAAGAAATTCCTTTAGTACACAATGGCCTAGGCACCTTGTTTGTGTGAATGGTAGTGACATGTCGAGTGTGATTTATTCCCAGCATGAAGAGGGGGCAGAAACTGTGCAGCTGGATTGTGACACACAGCTGTGATTCCTTGGCCCTGTTGTGCTGAATACTCCCCTCTCGAAGGCAGAGATTTCACAGGCTAGCATCAGCAAATACCAGTGTCTCAGCACAGCCTGTGAGCTGCCTTTCAGAGTTTCAGAGGCTTTGTGATTGATATAACATGAAGACACCACGAGGGAGCAGCAGCAGAAACACTCTAGAATGTAAAAACAATCATTCTTGCCATGGATAAAGTGTGTATTCACAGCTGGCTGAAGTCTATCCTGGAAACACAGGCAGGACAGAGTCCCTCTGGATGGAATGTGAGTCAGTTGCAGGGCCAATGTAAAAGGGATCAATTAAAGCAGCTGATCAGATGTAACCAGCATGTTTTTGAAAATTAGAAGCAAACCAGAACAACTGGGAACACCCACAGGGAAAACGTGCAAAATCTCCATGTGGACAGACACCCGAGGAAGAGCTAACTCACGCCAGCATGAAAAAGATCTCCCTTCATGGTTGATTACTGTATATTCTTTTCCTGAAACAGCAGTGGGAGTACATTTGGTTTGGGGCTGCTGTGCTGTCCCAGGGCCCTGAGAGCTTGCCATCCTGACAGAACAATGGATTTAGTGTTGTACAGCATCAGCAGATTCTGGGGAATAACAGGGCGTCCAATCACCAGCTGCAGCTGAGCCATACGTGGGTCATTCAGCAAGACGATGACCCTGAACATGCAAGCAGATCTACAGTGAGGTCTACGCAGAAAGTCACTGGGACCGAGCTACCCTCCATCAACCAGATATATCGACCGCTGCCACAACCGGGCTCGAGCTATACTTCGGGACCCAATTCACCCTGCCCACAACCTGTTTTCACCCCTGGGTTCTGGCAGGAGGCATCGCAGTATCAGAACACTGACCAATAGATTCAAAACCAGTTTCTTCCCCCAAGCAGTCCGCATCATAAACAGCTCAAATCAGCACCTGCACATATTAGCACCTGCACTTTGAGGTGCTGCGCTGTTTGCACTGTCCTGTCTTGGCTGTATTATAACGTCTATAGTCTGAATTTATTGTCCATGTCTGTTTGTCATTTCTGGCTATTATTTTTCTCCACTGTTACTGGGTACAGCTGAACGAGTAAACATTCCAATACACTTGTTGTATATGGCCAATAAAAAATCTTGAATCTTGAAGAAGGAGACATTTCATATTTTGGACTGGTCAAGTTACAGTCTGGAAAGTCTGGTGAGCTGTTCATACAAGACAACCCCAAATGTCACTGACATGAAGAGATTTTATGTGGAACAATGGGCCAAAATTCCTAAAAAATTCCTGAGAAATCATCAAAGCTCCAGACGGTGTCACTAGTCATTGAATTGAAGGATTCACAAACTTATTCACAAGAGGATATTTACTGTTGGAACATTTTGTTGATTAAAGAATTCAAGTACATCTGTTGTCTATGTGTTGTGCATTTAATCAGGTCACCTTAATCTTTTATTGAGACTTGAAGATCTAGATCTTGAAGAATTAGATGAAGATCTAATTGTGCTTTAGTTCTAAAATATAAGAGAATACTGACCAAGCAAGAGGATTCACAAATGTTTTTTAACTATAACACCATGAGTGCTAAAACTCAGATTCCCTGATGAGCAGTGCAGGCATTTTAAGATTTCCTTGCCAGTTCCCTCATGCAACATTGAATTTTTTACACACTAGAACCTAATTTAAATTGATGTTAACTCCCAGACATGATCTTGGTCTGGTAATGTACAGAAGACAATGTCGCTGTGCTAAGGAAGAGCGAGGCTTCTGCACGGTCACTTACCATGGTATGAATATACTTTGTGTGTAATCCATGCTCATCCAAGCCTGTTCCCTCAATGTCCTCTTTGTACTTGGGACTCACAACTACAATTATGAGTACTGATTTCTGCAATAGAAGGATTGGCAGTAATTAAATAGTCAAATCAAACGGTACTGCTTTGAAAACACCAATGTGGCGTGCAATTTCTGCAGCCTTAACTTGTGTCAGCTAGCAGACTACAGCTATTTACACAAGGATATAGGCGAAGACAAATCTCAACAAGATTTTAGTTCAGGGAACGTCAGATGAATTGAGCGCTCATCATTTATAGGCATGTCACACAAATACTGCGGCTATTGAAAAAAGTGCTGTAGACCTTTAGTCTGCCTGTTGTTGCTTACTTATTTAGCTTGTGTTGTTGCTTAAAAACCAATGCCACAACAATACCAATACATATATTTTTTTCTTTTAATTGTATTTTTTAATTGCCCGTGATTTTTTCCCTTCTTTAGTCAGTCATGATGTTTCTTGCACTTTCATTCACAATATGGTTATAAGGGCTCTGTAAGGCCGAAGTGGAGAGGTCAGTTTGGAGTTCCAACACAGCACTTCTTTTGGCCTCTCCTGTACGTCATGTAAAGTGATCTTTACTGTAGCTGTGGTTTGTTTCAAATGCGTTTGTAAGGTTTTGCCGTCATACTGAATTTGCACAGCACTTCGTAGCGGATTAATCCCCTGAAGCATATTGATTATTCCTTCAAAACTCCAAATAACCAGATGATAGTGTGTGGGAAATGAAAAAAAGGAAAGGAAATACAATATTTTGGGGGTGAATTAGCAGTTGGAAAAATACAGTACTGTGACATCCATGAACATATACCCCCCTTGAAAAGCATATATAACATTACACATTCCTGAAAGCAACATACTGTATGTGAATGTTAAAATGTACAAACTAAGAACTGAATGTAATTGCAATTGTAATTGTTCTTACACTCCTTTTTTTATGCTTACGTCTTTTAAATAACTGTCCATCCACTTATTGATGTCCATACGCCTTATTGGGTTGTCAAATATATCAATCTGGAACAAAGGAAGAGATGCGACCAATGATCTTTGAATCAACAGTCTCTGAACTGAAGTACATCAAGTCCAGCTCAAGACACAAATACAAAGCACACTTATTGTAATGGCTAAGTAAAACCTAAGTAAAACAGGTAATGCAACAACACTGAAGAAGAACAGCATTTTAATGCTTACTATAGACGTATCCTGCTGCAGACTGTATAATAAAAAGTTTTTAAAATGCCTTTATACTTGTTCACATAGAAAATTGTGGATGAGTACAGTAACGTCTCTCATAAAGAAATACCACTGGGGTGTGAGCTGCAAAGTGTGTAACCAAACGAACAAAGTAGCAGATGAGAAGGAGACTTGACTTTCTGTCCCTACTTACCGCTGGCCGAAAGCCTTGTTTTGTCAGAAATTCCACAAAGGTTAGTATCTCACGAGCTGCGTCCACTGAATACGTAACAAATAAATTCCCTGAAAACAAATTCAGAATGTGGACTTTTAATATGTCACTTTCTACTAGATATGAAACTTTGGGGGTTACTGCTAACATTCCTCTAAATAAACTTTCGTATTCATTTCAGAACAGCCAGTGAGAATTAAGAACACTTTATGGAAAGCAAAAATGTTATTCATTAAACAACTGACTTTATATTGAATAAAGAATTGAATTAAATAATGTATATTTTCTTTTAGTGCTTGCCTTTTCTCCACTTGTAAAGTGCCCCAAATCCGGTTGATGTACATGGGTACTGAAACAAATCCTCCCTGTTATATTCTTGCCAAGAAACTCATCCAACTGTGGCATGTGACATGAAGCACATCAACATGAAAGTGGTATTAATACGCCTCAGAATCCTGCCTTATGAAGCATATTTTTTTTTCTGAAAAGGTGCTGTACTGCAAACCTTTTTTATATTTCACTCACGGCATTCATCTGGCAGGTTGATGGTTTTCAACATTCCCGGTTCCTCTGTCCCGCTGACAGCAGGCTGGCGGTACGGAGGAGGCAGAGGTGGAGAAGGTACGATGTCAATCTGAGACATCACCCCCACAGAGGGGGCGGCACAGCCCGGTGTACTGTGAAGACCGCGGTGGAGGCCGTAGGCAGAGGAGTGACTGTCTCTCACACCGAATCGAAAATGAGGCTGATTCCTACAAAACAACGCCATCACTGCGATTAACACGGCACTTTCCACTTCTTTTGTTACAGAACCCTTGCAGAAAAAGGACAAAACAACTCAAAATTACAGCGTTCCTCAAACATGAAACCTACACGTATGCTCCCGTAAATCACTACAAGTAGGGGGACGGTCCTACATGTTTAACTTGTAACAGAAGCCCTGAGAGATGTCAGGTCTGGGTCATTCAGTGTCAGGGTTCTGTCGTATCACCATTTGTGAGCGCGATCTGATTAAACTTTCCAGATGAACACATGTTGCTGAGTTCTGTCAGAATTAGGGACATAAAGATGGATTTGAAGATCCACTGATCACCCGTTAACTGATACACTCAATTTTAAAATTCTCCACTAGACCTACTGTAAACCTCCATTCTTCCGTTCAGAACAACAAGAGCACAGATTTGTTCTCATGATGATTTGAATGTGGGAGAAAATAATCTAATTTTGCAAACATTAAGCCAGATTTTCAAACAGTAGATGGACCCTCCAATAACAAACATCCTTACTGTGTTTCAGAGGAGTGCTGTTGCACACACAGTATAATTATCTGAGTTCCTCCTGACTTACAGGTCTAGTATATAGACCATGAAAGTATTGGTAAGGGTTCAAAAGAAAAAGTTAAAATTAAAAAAATAAAATAACTATGTTTTGAAAGCAGTAATAAAGATATTTTCATTTGGCCCCCTTATTTATTTAAATGGTACAGTACTGTACCTAAACACCTCCTTCAGAGAATGATTATAATGCATACAGTAATTGTCAAAAAAAGTCTATTAATTGAAAATATGTGATTAATGCTAAAACTCTGCCTTTGAGAAAGTGAGTGAATTCTAATATAACACGTTATGCACTAAAGCACTGTATGTATTAAAGCATATGCTGTTCTTTGGTTTTAAACCTATTTTTCTTTTACTTCCAGTTTGTTACAGCAGTAGAATTTCCTCTTAATATCACAAGGAAAAATATTTTCAGACAGAAATGTGTACAATAACAGTATTGGTACTGGTAATTAATGTAAATATCCCACAGTGTTTATACAGTAAATGAGAAAATATTTACCTTATTTACCAAAGCTAAACATACCACGTGTAACACATTGTCTCATCTATAAATAGGCTTAATCTGACACACTCCTGTGTTTAGATTCAAAAAGAACTTTTTTTTGTCAAATTGTCAAAGAATCTTTAGAAGACTGAATGAAGCAGAACATCTACGCTGTCGACTTGTTTGCTAGCTCATCTGTTTGGAAGAACATGTCCTGATGACGTAATATAGTTGTGTATGAAAGTTGAAAGTGAATCAACTGAAGTGTTTTGTCAGCAATTGCATAGTGTCAGTATCATAAATTGTTATAGAAATCTCATGGCTTAGCTGAGCTAAGTTAATGTGCAGCTTGTCACAATGCTTGAAATATTGAAAAGAGTTTATTGAAATGATTTAATATCATTGTTACTATTAGTGTGTTCGCATACTGCTGAGGCTCAATTCATTCCCTGGATGGGTAGGAATTTCGGGAAGTGTCCAATTTAGTCAAGATTGAGAGAAGTAACAGATGTACAGTATATCCTCAGGTGTGTTATCTTCCTTTTGCAAAAGACGTGAGGGAAGAGTAGACGTGCATGTACTTTTTGAAAGAAAACACATTTTTGCCATTCCTTTCACACGTCCTGCATTGTTGTTTAATTTCACGGGGTTTTATTTGAGGGCTGTAGTAAACGGATCTCTTCCTGGCTCCCGTCCTGAGCCACTCCTGCTGGTTCTTCTCGCGTGTTCAGCCTTGCCCTTTCAGGAGTGGCCAGGGACAGAGCGGGGAATTCCCAGAGAAAACACCAACAGACGCGCTGTGCTTACCAGCCCTCTGGTCCGGGCCAAAGCCTGACTTCCTGCTGGGGCTCTGGAACACAGCGCCCGTGGGTGCAGCCAGTCAGCTGCTGCTGTGCACACACCCTGGGATCCTGTCTCTGATAGGAGGGGGAATGTGACCAGCAGGCGTGCCCACAATCCACAGCCGCAAATCCTGTGGAGAGGTAAGGCAAAAATATATGAGACTTTGTAAGGATGTCATTAGATTTAACAACTGGTTTAATCCATGTACATACAGTTCCACCAGTCTTTGCATGCACAGTATGGGTAACACTTTAAGGCTGAATGGGGAAATGGCCTTTTCTACAAATCTTTTCTGATTAATTTCACAATGGCACCGTTGTGTAGGGGATAGCATTGCTATCTTGCAGCGGGGTTCAATTCCTGGGGTGGGGTGTGTGTGTGTGCGTGTGTCTGTGTCTGTGTGTGTGTGTGTCTGTCTGCCCTCTGATGGACTGGTGTGCCCTGCAGAGTGTAACCTGCCTCGCACCTGTTGCATGATGGGATAGACTCCAGCTTGCCTGCGACCCTGTGAGGCCAGGTGAGGAGAGGTCAGATTGGATGAGGTCAGGTGAGGAGAGGTCAG